ACGCGACACCCCAGGCAGCCCCGAGGAGTGTCGCCAAATACTACGAGATCTGAGCCGACGCTGAGGAGACCGAGAAAGCCAAACATCTGCACCAGCCGAATGGGTATGCGCCAACCGTCACGCGAAGACCGTTGGGGCCCAAAAAGCGCGCCACCTGTTTGCCTTTAGTACCAGACCCAAGCAAGCCACCGACCCCAGCCCGGCTTACACCGAAAAGGGAGACTCCTATGAATATGATGCAACTTGGCGGGCAAGGAGTCAGCCCGCACCGTCATGAGGACAAGCTTGCCCCTTCAGGGTAGACCGTAAGACCACAGACGCCGAGGGACGGCGGGCCCCGCGCTCACCAAAGAAAGGGCTCACGACTTCACGGCCACTAGGTAGTCCCCTAGGCCCCGCTCCGTCCCATGTCGAACTGGGAGCCCGCGTTCCCTCTGCCTTTGTACTCACGGGACGAAAGTCAGACATATTTTTAGCCCAAAAACAAAGACCACGACGCAAGCGCAACGGACAACCAAAGACCGACGAAGAAGAAGCCCCACGCGCAAGAATTCCTGTGCGCGCCGACGGAGCTGGGAGAGAGCCGCGAGGCCATGGAAAAGACGGAGCGCAAGCCCCAACTTGAAGCGTCGACTAGATTCTGCTTCTGAGCCCGCTCGCCCCAGCTTGAACGAAGGCGGCGCCTGCTGCTACAGGTCGGCGGCACATGTGTACAGTAAGACGGGGGCGAGGTGGATGCACAGTCGACGCCCCGTCCTCTGCGGCGCACAGATGGGATGTAAAACGGACAGCCCTGGCATGCAGACGAGGCAAACACCACCCAAAGACCAGCCAAGACGGCCTGAGGCTCTCTGCGTCTGCAGAAAGAGGGCGCAGATCCGCCGGATAGGCGTCTAGCGGGCCCGCGAGCTGGTTCGCAATTCGTCTCCAGATACAAGCACCGACGCAGAAAAGCTATCGCGCCGCCGTTTGGCTGCCGCGGCTGTGCGCGCAGTCTTGCTCAATGCGAAGGTGGGGCGCCGACTGGCGACCCCAATAGACAAGCGCGCGCGCCCACCCTTCCTCGCCGATAGCTTAGCCTTCGACCACTGCCAGAGACAGAGACCCCCGACCAAGTGAGCCCAACCAAGGAGCACAGATGGGGAGAACCAAGCCCAGCGCCTTGGCCTCTGTCTGAGGCCATCCAATGCCTGGGCGCCGATGGAGCGGGCTCGCCGCCATTCGTCGCACCGCTTGAAGCAATCACTTGCATGCGCCACTTAGGCGAGACACCCCGAACCCGCTAGCTTCCTTCACGTTTGAAATAGGAAAGAAGGCCGCCAGCTCAGTGCGGCGAACCTAGAGCCGTGCTGTGGGCTTGCTTCACTTCCAAAAGGGCGGCGCCGCTCTGCTTGCTAACTTGTCGGCGGCGCGGTGAGTCTAGCCACCTCCCAAGCTCACGGCCATGCTGATGGCGGTCACCCGTCCCCGCGCTGCGACCTCTTCCTTGCTTCGCTCAACCACACAACCCGCACGAGGGTAATAGCGCTAAGAATTTCTCCCGCATGATTTTGTTGCCATGTTCTGTAAATCGGGCACCTCTCTGCTTTACATTTTTGCCCAGACCGGGTGACGGCTGGCGGACTGAGAGGGCCTGAGGAGGTTCCTGCAGGTCGACTTTCATGGTCATTTTCCTCCCTTTTGTCAACATTTAGTAAGCTGCAGCGCCCCCCTCGACCCCGTGGTCCTATGCATTGCAACAAGCGCACGTCGGAGACTGACGCGAAAGGAAACCCGCTGCGAGCTAACCAGGGAGCCCAAAGAGCCAAGAACACGGAGGCGCGCGCGTACTTCCTAGGCCGCGGGAGCTGCTCGGAGTAGAGGCTAGCCCGGTTCCTGCTCCTAGAGGCGTTGCGAATTCTTTAAGCCTAGATCGCTAGGTGCTTCACATTTACCCCAGCACGACCAAACCGGGGGGGCGCTATATTGCGCAGAGCACTCCACATGCACCCGCGGAAAGGAGTTGTGCTGGTGTTATGGTTTGCTCTGTCTCTTGGGAGGCGGTTATTATATAGCTGCCACGCTTTTCCGGTGTGTCGCAGAGCCATGGCAGAGTGGATCCGCCTAAGCACAAGAGTTGTGAGTCCGAATTTTTACCGTCACACGTTAAAAAAAACGCGACACCGCGGCCCACCCTTCTCAAGCTTTGGGGCGGGCCCGCGCTCACTCCTTCCCGCCTCCGCGCCCTCGTTTTGTAAAGTTCCACCACCTCGCGCCGCAGCCGCACGTGCGCAGCACAACCCAAACAACCTGGGGCGCCAGAGAGACAAGCAAGGAACCATCGCCCCGCAGAACAAGGCAGACGCGGGCGAGCATTCGCTGCTCTTGCCCGGGTGCTCGCCTCGAGTCTGTACTGCAGCAGGCGGGCCTAGCAGTGGCCCCAAATCAGAAGACTACACGGAGCCCCCATAGACTGACACAAGGCCGCCACACAGGAACGCGCACTCTCAACACCGTCCAGGGCTGTGCATGCAGATAAGCTCCCCGGCAAGCCAAGAACGAAGGAAGCCCCGGAGGAACGCGGACCGCGCCGGCGGTCTTCTCGCGGCAGATCGGTTGTCCTGGCGCAGCGCAGGGCCCTTCGTTGTATCGCGCTGAGCCCTCCCCGCCTGGCGCTCTGTCCTCAAGAGCCTCCCCGCGTTCTCACACACATGACAAGGGGCAAGAACACTACGCACACCCGGCTCCGCTGGCTCTCACACACGTGCCCCCGCCGCCCCCAAAAGCGCGCCGGGGCCGCTTGCGCTTCGTCGGCCTATCTGCTTGTGGCCTAACCCAGCGGGCACACAAGTGGCCCTCCTTCGACAAGACAGGCGGCCGCGTGGTGCTAACAGGCAGGCCACGGGGCCTCTGCGAGACCGCGTCTACCGTCCCTGTGGGTCCGCTGCGTGCAAGCCTTACGCGCCCCCCTGTCTAGCAGCGCAAGACCCTTAAGCCAGGTCGGGGCCTCAGCGTGCCGACTGTGGCCACTGCGCTGCGCGCTTTCTGCGTGTCGTTCCGGTTCCTTTTTGCCAAGGCAGGCGCTGGCCATGTTTCCCTGGGTCGCGGGCACCTGAGGCACCGCGCGTATTGGCCCCCACGCGTGTCACGACACACACCAGAAGCAACTCTATGGCCGCTCGAGTAGGCGCAAAACCATCGCCGACTTTGTGGGCCTTTGTCTAATCAGGGGCTCTCCCCTGCGACTCAGTCTCAATCTTTTGCGCGAATCGCTTTGCTCGCTGCCTTCCTTGCTTGCTCATGCAGCTGCAGCGCACACCCAAAGGGCTAGCGCGATGCACCCGGGTCGCAGCGTGGTGCCAATGCGCGTGGCCAGTGGCCATCAGCTCACAACACCCGTCCGGGCCGCGACTTCTCTTCCGCCGATCGTATTTCTATCTCCCACCGACGAGGGCCGAGTCCCTCTCTCTGGCGTCTCTCCTGAGGGTACTAGCCTAGTCGCTCACTACTGGGCTTACACCGATAACGCCCAAGCGCCGACAAGGATCGATCATGTGCATGCCTTCCACTTTCTTCCCTTTCTTATCGTGCGAGCCGACGCGGATGCGGAGGCGGATGCGCGTGGGCATTTCGCGGTCTCTCTCGTGGTGATACCTGTCCACGGGCATGCGCTCCGTGGAGGATGCGAGGCGGCGACACGGTAGACGGGACGTAAGCCGAGCCGAGGTAGCTGACAGGTGGAGCAGCTGCTGCTGAGCCCCGCGCAGTCAGTCACACGGGCCGCAGCACTTCAAAGCCCTTCCGTGACCGCTGCAACCAAGAGGGCAGAGCCGCTACAGCTCACCGCAGCACATCCAAACCGCCAGGCGGGGCGTTCTAGTACGACACAATTTGCACGCCGTAAGGAGCATCTTCATCAACATAACTGCGCGCGGGTCGTTCCTGGAGGTGCAACTGTTTGCATTAGCGGTAGCCGGCACCTTGCTAGAAGCGAGTGCCGCCCCAGCCACGCCCCTACAAGCTCACTAAGGAACCAGGGTGGGCCGGGCTTGCTCTTGCTTGGTTCGGGACTTACTGCTCCAACGATGACGAGGGAAAAACAACAGAGACTGGCGACCCAGTGACGCACGGAGGGCCCCTTTGTGCAAGAGCAGGCGCGCGGTGGCCAGCTGTGCTTGTGATCTACAATCCAGCCGCCACCAATAGGCGTAAAAGAGTTACCGCTACAAAGATAAAACGCCCAACATACAATGCCACGCCGCCCACGCCACAAATTACAGCACGAGCGCATACCCATTCAGGCGGCGTCCGTAATAAATTAGCTGAAGCGACGTCGCGTTGCGGCTGGAAACCAAAGCGGGCCTCTGCCTGTGCTCGCCAAGAAGATTCTATTCCCGTAAGGCGCCGCTGCTTTGCGGCGCTCAGTGCTTGACGACGTGCGCCGAGATGTCTGGGGATGACGCTCACAACCCGCCCGCCGCTCTCCCGCGAGCTTTTGGCCCCAGGCTCGGGCCTGTCCCATGGTTGAACCCCAATAAGGCCAAAGGAGAAGCGAGAGCGAGCCAGGAGCAGCACAAGCGAGCAGCTACGCGGCTCTCAAAGAGCAAGGAGGAGAAAAATACTATGGAGCAAAGGAAAGAGACGAGGACGACAAGGCGAGGCAACGAGAAAACAAACAAGAAAAATAAAGCGGGGGAGAGTCCGTCGGCAAGGCTCAGAACGCTCCCCACCGGTGTGTCGGGGCCGTTTGTTTGCATCCGAGAGGACGAGGAGCCGGGGCGCCGGCTTTGGTTGCTGAAAGGCTGAAGCAAGCTGCCCACGCGGCGGAAAAGCCGCCGAGCTTCGACGCACACGAGGAGGCAGCCAGCTGCGAGCCACCCCTCGGCCAAGGGCTGCCAGCTCACGGCGCTGAGGAATGAACGAAGAGGGACCGAAGGCCGGACGAACAGCGTCAAAGGGAGCAGAGAGACCAAGCGCGACGGCGTGTCCACAGCAAGCCGAGGGCCGACAGGCACGTCGCGGCGGGCAGTCGTTCGCCTCTTCTCTTGTGTCTCGACTCGAATCCATCGCCCTCTTTTCTGTCTCAGAAACAAAAACCAAGAACGACAGCTCCTGCCATGAGGGAGCAAAGACGAAAAAACACCGGCCGACGAGGGAGGAGACGACCCGCAGGCCGCGTGAGAGAAAGCATATTCATGGATGGTGGCGCACGACGGTGCGCACGCGTGAGCCGCCAGTAGTTTGCCGACCCTGATGAGAACACGAAGAGAGCCCACAACGAGAGTCCAGCCAGCGGCCGCGAACTCCGTGGTGGCAGCGGGCCCATCACTAGTTGCGCGAACTGATTGGCCGCGACAGATTGACGTCGCCTGCCATGATTGCAAGCAGCGGGATGCCAGTGCCTACCCCGCTGAACCGAGCTGCTGAGGCGTGTTCTGCTTCTCCTGCTGATCAGTGGACCTCGCCCGAAAAAGCCTGAAGCAATCACCCACGCGACACCCCAGGCAGCCCCGAGGAGTGTCGCCAAATACTACGAGATCTGAGCCGACGCTGAGGAGACCGAGAAAGCCAAACATCTGCACCAGCCGAATGGGTATGCGCCAACCGTCACGCGAAGACCGTTGGGGCCCAAAAAGCGCGCCACCTGTTTGCCTTTAGTACCAGACCCAAGCAAGCCACCGACCCCAGCCCGGCTTACACCGAAAAGGGAGACTCCTATGAATATGATGCAACTTGGCGGGCAAGGAGTCAGCCCGCACCGTCATGAGGACAAGCTTGCCCCTTCAGGGTAGACCGTAAGACCACAGACGCCGAGGGACGGCGGGCCCCGCGCTCACCAAAGAAAGGGCTCACGACTTCACGGCCACTAGGTAGTCCCCTAGGCCCCGCTCCGTCCCATGTCGAACTGGGAGCCCGCGTTCCCTCTGCCTTTGTACTCACGGGACGAAAGTCAGACATATTTTTAGCCCAAAAACAAAGACCACGACGCAAGCGCAACGGACAACCAAAGACCGACGAAGAAGAAGCCCCACGCGCAAGAATTCCTGTGCGCGCCGACGGAGCTGGGAGAGAGCCGCGAGGCCATGGAAAAGACGGAGCGCAAGCCCCAACTTGAAGCGTCGACTAGATTCTGCTTCTGAGCCCGCTCGCCCCAGCTTGAACGAAGGCGGCGCCTGCTGCTACAGGTCGGCGGCACATGTGTACAGTAAGACGGGGGCGAGGTGGATGCACAGTCGACGCCCCGTCCTCTGCGGCGCACAGATGGGATGTAAAACGGACAGCCCTGGCATGCAGACGAGGCAAACACCACCCAAAGACCAGGCAAGACGGCCTGAGGCTTTCTGCGTCTGCAGAAAGAGGGCGCAGATCCGCCGGATAGGCGTCTAGCGGGCCCGCGAGCTGGTTCGCAATTCGTCTCCAGATACAAGCACCGGCGCAGAAAAGCTATCGCGCCGCCGTTTGGCTGCCGCGGCTGTGCGCGCAGTCTTGCTCAATGCGAAGGTGGGGCGCCGACTGGCGACCCCAATAGACAAGCGCGCGCGCCCACCCTTCCTCGCCGATAGCTTAGCCTTCGACCACTGCCAGAGACAGAGACCCCCGGCCAAGGAAGTGAGCCCAGCCAAGGAGCACAGATGGGGAGAACCAAGCTCCGCGCCTTGGCCTCTGTCTGGGGCCATCCAATGCCTGGGCGCCGATGGAGCGGGCTCGCCGCCATTCGTCGCACCGCTTGGCGCAATCATTTGCGCCACTTAGGTGAGGCACCCCGGACCCGCTTCGCGTTTGAAATAGGAAGGAAGGCCGCCAGCTCAGTGCGGCGAACCTAGAGCCGAGCTGTGGGCTTGCTTCACTTCCAAAAGGGCGGCGCCGCTCTGCTTGCTAACTTGTCGACGGCGCGGTAAGTCTAGCCACCTTCCAAGCTCACGGCCATGCTGATGGCGGTCACCCGTCCCCGCGCTGCGACCTCTTCCTTGCTTCGCTCAACCACACAACCCGCACGAGGGTAATAGCGCTAAGAAATTCCCCCGCATGATTTTGCTGCCAGGCTCTGTAAATCGGGCACCTCTCTGCTCTACATTTTTGCCCAGACCGGGTGACGGCTGGCGGACTGAGAGGGCCTGAGGAGGTTCCTGCAGGTCGACTTTCATGGCCATTTTCCTCCCTTTTGTCAACATCTAGTAAGCTGCAGCGCCCCCCTCGACCCCGTGGACCTATGCATTGCAACAAGCGCACGTCGGAGACTGACGCGAAAGGAAACCCGCTGCGAGCTAACCAGGGAGCCCAAAGAGCCAAGAACACGGAGGCGCGCGCGTACTTCCTAGGCCGCGGGAGCTGCTCGGAGTAGAGGCTAGCCCGGTTCCTGCGCCTAGAGGCGTTGCGAATTCTTTAAGCCTAGATCGCTAGGTGCTTCACATTTACCCCAGCACGACCAAACCGGGGGGGCGCTATATTGCGCAGAGCACTCCACATGCACCCGCGGAAAGGAGTTGCGCTGGTGTTATGGTTTGCTCTGTCTCTTGGGGGGAGGCGCTTACTTTATAGCTGCCACGCTTTTCCGGTGTGTCGCAGAGCCATGGCAGAGTGGATCCGCCTAAGCACAAGAGTTGTGAGTCCGAATTTTTACCGTCACACGTTAAAAAAAACGCGACACCGCGGCCCACCCTTCTCAAGCTTTGGGGCGGGCCCGCGCTCACTCCTTCCCGCCTCCGCGCCCTCGTTTTGTAAAGTTCCACCACCACGCGCCGCAGCCGCACGTGCGCAGCACAACCCAAACAACCTGGGGCGCCAGAGAGACAAGCAAGGAACCATCGCCCCGCAGAACAAGGCAGACGCGGGCGAGCATTCGCTGCTCTTGCCCGGGTGCTCGCCTCGAGTCTGTACTGCAGCAGGCGGGCCTAGCAGTGGCCCCAAATCAGAAGACTACACGGAGCCCCCATAGACTGACACAAGGCCGCCACACAGGAACGCGCACTCTCAACACCGTCCAGGGCTGTGCATGCAGATAAGCTCCCCGGCAAGCCAAGAACGAAGGAAGCCCCGGAGGAACGCGGACCGCGCCGGCGGTCTTCTCGCGGCAGATCGGTTGTCCTGGCGCAGCGCAGGGCCCTTCGTTGTATCGCGCTGAGCCCTCCCCGCCTGGCGCTCTGTCCTCAAGAGCCTCCCCGCGTTCTCACACACATGACAAGGGGCAAGAACACTACGCACACCCGGCTCCGCTGGCTCTCACACACGTGCCCCCGCCGCCCCCAAAAGCGCGCCGGGGCCGCTTGCGCTTCGTCGGCCTATCTGCTTGTGGCCTAACCCAGCGGGCACACAAGTGGCCCTCCTTCGACAAGACAGGCGGCCGCGTGGTGCTAACAGGCAGGCCACGGGGCCTCTGCGAGACCGCGTCTACCGTCCCTGTGGGTCCCCTGCGTGCAAGCCTTACGCGCTCCCCTTTCTAGCAGCGCAAGACCCTTAAGCCAGGTCGGGGCCTCAGCGTGCCGACTGTGGCCACTGCGCTGCGCGCTTTCTGCGTGTCGTTCCGGTTCCTTTTTGCCAATGCAGGCGCTGGCCATGTTTCCCTGGGTCGCGGGCACCTGAGGCGCCGCGCGTATTGGCCCCCACGCGTGTCACGACACACACCAGAGGCAAACCTATGGCCGCTCTAGTAGGCGCAAAACCATCGCCGACTTTGTGGGCCTTTGTCTGCTCATGCAGCTGCAGCGCACACCCAAAGGGCTAGCGCGATGCACCCGGGTCGCAGCGTGGTGCCAATGCGCGTGGCCAGTGGCCATCAGCTCACAACACCCGCCCGGGCCGCGACTTCTCTTCCGCCGATCGTATTTCTATCTCCCACCGACGGCACGAGGGTCGAGTCCCTCTCTCTGGCGTCTCTCCTGAGGGTACTAGCCTAGTCGCTCACTACTGGGCTTACACCGATAACGCCCAAGCGCCGACAAGGATCGATCATGTGCATGCCTTCCACTTTCTTCCCTTTCTTATCGTGCGAGCCGACGCGGATGCGGAGGCGGATGCGCGTGGGCATTTCGTGGCCGCTCTCGTGGTGATACCTGTCCAGAGGCATGCGCTCCGTGGAGGATGCAAGGCAACGACACGGTAGGCGGGACGTAAGCCGAGCCGAGGTATCTGACAGGTGGAGCAGCTGCAGCTGAGCCCCGCACAGTCAGTCACACGGGCCGCAGCACTTCAAAGCCCTTCCGTGACCGCTGCAACCAAGAGGGCAGAGCCGCTACAGCTCACCACAGCACATCCAAACCGCCAGGCGGAGCGTTCTAGTACGACACAATTTGCACGCCGTAAAGGAGCATCTTCATCAACATAACCGCGCGCGGGTCGTTCCTGGAGGTGCAACTGTTTGCAATAGCGGTAGCCGGCACCTTGCTAGAAGCGAGCGCCGCCCCAGCCACGCCCCTACAAGCTCACTAAGGAACCAGGGTGGGCCGGGCTTGCTCTTGCTTGGTTCGGGACTTACTGCTCCAACGATGACGAGGGAAAAACAACAGAGACTGGTGACCCAGTGACGCACGGAGGGCCCTTTTGTGCAAGAGCAGGCGCGCGGTGGCCAGCTGTGCTTGCGATCTACAATCCAGCCGCCACCAATAGGCGTAAAAGAGTTACCGCTACAAAGATAAAACGCCGAACAATGCCACGCCGCCCACGCCACAAATTACAGCGCGAGCGCATACCCGTTCGGGCGGCGTCCGTAATATATTAGCTGAAGCGACGTCGCGTCGCGGCTGGAAACCAAAGCGGGCCTCTGCCTGTGCTCGCCAAAAAGATTCTATTCTCGTAAGCAAGGCGCCACTGCTTCGCGGCGCTCAGTGCTTGACGACGTGCGCCGAGATGTCTGGGGATGACGCTCACAACCCGCCCGCCGCTCTCCCGCGAGCTTTTGGCCCCAGGCTCGGGCCTGTCCCATGGTTGAATCCCAATAAAGCCAAAGGAGAAGCGAGAGCGAGCCAGGAGCAGCACAAGCGAGCAGCTACGCGGCTCTCAAAGGGCAAGAGGTAGAAAAAGACTAAGGAGCAAAGAAAAGAGGCGAGGACGATAAGGCGAGGCAACGAGAAAACAAACAAGAAAAATAAAGCGGGGGAGAGTCCGTCGGCAAGGCTCAGAACGCTCCCCACCGGTGTGTCGGGGCCGTTTGTTTGCATCCGAGAGGACGAGGAGCCGGGGCGCCGGCTTTGGTTGCTGAAAGGCTGAAGCAAGCTGCCCACGCGGCGGAAAAGTCGCCGAGCTTCGAAGCACACGAGGGGGCAGCCAGCTGCGAGCGACCCCTCGGCCAAGGGCTGCCAGCTCACGGCGCTGAGGAATGAACGAAGAGGGACCGAAGGCCGGGGGAACAGCGTGAAAGGGAGCGGCAGGGCAGTCGCTCGCCTTTTTTCTTGTGTCTCGACTCGAATCCCTCGCCCTCTTTTCTGTCTCAGAAACAAAAACCAAGAACGACAGCTCCTGCCATGAGGGAGCAAAGACGAAAAAACACCGGCCGACGAGGGAGGAGACGACGCGACCCGCAAGCCGCGTGAGAGAAAGCAAGGGCCCCCGCCTGGTCGTCATGGATGGTGGCGCACGACTGTGCGCGCGCGTGAGCCGCCAGTAGTTTGCCCACCCTGATGAGAACACGAAGAGAGCCCACAACGAGAGTCCAGCCAGCGGCCGCGAACTCCGTGGTGGCAGCGGGCCCATCACTAGTGTCGCGAACTGATTGGCCGCGACAGATTGCAAGCAGCGGGATGCCAGTGCCTACCCCGCTGAGCCGAGCTGCTGAGACGTGTGCTGCTTCTGCTGCTTATCAGTGGACCTCGCCCAAAAAAGCCTGAAGCAATCACCCACTCGACACCCCAGGCAGCCCCGAGGAGTGTCGCCAAATGCTACGAGATCTGAACCGACACTGAGGAGACCGCGAGGGCCAAACAAACATCTGCACCAGCCGAATGGGCATGCGCCAAGCGTTACGCGAAGACCGTTGGGGCCCAAAAAGCGCGCCTCCTGTTTGCCTTTAATACCAGACCCAAGCAAGCCACAGATCGCAGCCCGGCCCACAC